GGCCAAAAAAGGACAATTGGGCAAAACAGAAGGCCCAGGCAGTGAAGCTGCTTCTAAGGATCACGCTCCATAGCTTATTTCTTCCCGTCATCATCTCCCAACTTGCTACTAGAAAGAACTCTCCCTTTTAACCTTCTGAAGGAGCTTTGCTTTGTGAGTTTTGAAAAAAAACCCAGAACGGGATTGAGTTTTCAAAAAGACTCAAGAATGTTTATCTGAAGGAAACTGGTTTCTCTTTTAGATCATTCACCTTTTAATTTCACCTCCTTCCAGTTTCTCAAGGATGCAAAACTGCCACTGTACTTGTCTCAGAGGTCTGGTTCCTGTTAGAAAAGGAAGCCTTTTATTATTACCATGTATTGGAGGGGGACATAAATTGAAGGTAATTTGGAAAGGCTGAGGACGGTTGTGACCATCCCTGAGGTCTTATTTTGCTTTACCTCCCTGCTCCCCTTCGCAAGATTACAACAGTGTTTTCAGAAGTATAAAAAATATGGACTGGTTTTGTTTTTTTTCGCCTGAACTTGGCCACTGTATGTCTGATTGATGTTTCATACTGTTGGGTTATGTTCCTCATAATACATAATGAATGCAATTTGGAGCCATAGAGAAGTAATTTAACATCAAGGAAGCTGTGAAATACAGAGTGATAAAGTGGACTTTGGGGTCCTGTTTTCCTTGTCTGACAAACGTTTGAACATTTTTTTTGTCATGAAAAACCCAGCTCAGTAGCCAGAGCTCACATCCGTTATGGTTAATCTGTCTTTATAAAACTAAACAAGTTTGCCATGAAAATACATTGGCTGTCCTGAGGGCGCCTTAGGGGAGTTGATGGCCACACCCTGACAAGAGTCCACCAGGGCTGGTTTAGAGAAAGCCTAATCTTTACTAGGCCTTCTTGGAGAGAGGGGTAAAGGGATGCTAAGAGGCTCAAGCAAAATTGCGTTAAAATCCATAGTTCCCCATTGTGCTGTCCACAAAGAAAAGGGGATATGATTTTGAGCAAGATTGTTTCCACCAGGCCAGTAATTCTAGCAGGACTGTCTAAGGCAGGGATGTCCAACCTTGGCAACTTTAAGACTTGTGGACTTCAACTCCCAGAATTCCCCAGCCAGCATGGCTGACAGGGGAATTCTGGGAGTTGAAGTCCACAAGTCTTAAAAGTTGCCAAGGTTGGACACCCCTGATCCAAGGGGGAATGTTGCTTCTCAATTTGCTTAGGGGAGAAGAGAAGATTGTCCTAGCGGACAATCACTTAAATATGAGCCAGCAGTGTGCTGCAGCTGCCAAAAAGGCCAACACAGTGCTGGGCTGCATTAACAGAGGGATGGAATCAAGATCACGTGAAGTGTTAATACCACTTTACAATGCCTTGGTAAGAAAGAGTACAGAGAAGAACAACACAGATGATTAGGGGACTGGAGGCTAAAGCATATAAGGAACGGTTGCTGGAATTGGGTATGTCTAGTTTAATGAAGAGAAGGACGAGGGGTGACATGATAGCAGTGTTCCAGTATCTCAGGGGCTGCCACAAAGAAGAGGGAGTCAAGCTATTCTCCAAGGCGCCTGAAGGCAGGACAAGAAGCAATGGATGGAAACTAATCAAGGAGAGAAGCAACCTAGAACTAAGAAGAAACTTCCTGACAGTTAGAACAATTAACCAGTGGAACAACCTGCCTCCAGAAGTGGTGAATGCTCCAATACTGGAGGTTTTTAAGAAGAGACTGGACAGCCATTTGTCTGAAATGGTATAGGGTTTCCTGCCTGAGCAGGGGGTTGGACTAGATCAGGGCTTTTCAACCAGTGGTATGGGTATCACCTGTGGTACATTGGCACCTGGCAGGTGGTATGCGACCATCCTAGAAAAGTGGTAGCTGGGGAGGAGAATGAGCTTAACCGGTGGCAGCACCGCACAAGCCTGAGCGAGAGATGGCTGGAGCTGCAGGGCTGTCAGGGCTCAGTGGAAGTGCCAGGATCAGTGCCGCTTTCCAGCTGATCGGCGTTTTTTCGGGGCTGTCAGGGCTCAGCGGAAGTGCCAGGATCAGCGCCAGGCTCCAGCTGGAGCTCGGTGCTGATCCTGGTGCTTCTGCTGAGCCCAGAAGAAGTGCCGATCAGCTGGAATGTTGCAGCATCTCCAGGGTCTTGTGATTTACATTCAGATGCTTGGCAACTGATTCATATTTATGACGGTCACAGTGTCCCAGGGTCATGTGAAGTGACCAAAAGCTGCTGCAACCACCCAGCAGACGGGGGGAATAAAAACCAAATATCCCCCCATCCCACCCCTGCTGCCAATTCTCAACAGAAATGCTCACAACAATGAAAACCTCAGACAGGAGGAAGAGCACGGCTGGGCGGGCAGGCAGGTGTCTTGCTCGGCTGTGGCTTGGGGGGCACCTTTTTCAGTGCCATTGTAACTTCGAACAGTCACTAAGCGAATTGTTGAAAGTTGAGGACTACCTGTTACTTTATCACTTTTTTCCTTTTGGGGGGGGTCATCAAGTTTTTGACACCTTGCTAGGCGGCTGGTGGTACTCGGATGTTGCCATATCCTAAAAGTGGTACAATGGGTGAAAAGGTTGAAAAGCCCTGGACTAGATGACCTCCAAGGTCCCTTCCAACTTTATTATTATCGGATTCGGGAAGGCTTGGACTCCGACTGGTTGGCCCAGGGGGAGGAGACGGGAGCAGGTCTTGAGACGGTTGTATGGGAGGAGTTTGACTCTGTTGCTCCTGAAGATGTGGACAGGGTCCTGGGGAGGCTGAATGCAACCACATGTTTATTAGATCCGTGTCCCTCCTGGCTGGTACTGGCAGCTCGGGAGGGGACA